CAAAAGCAGGTCACAGACTTTCTCTACTGCCAAGTGTCTGCTCCGGGAGAATGGTCCCTGCACAGTGAAGTAGTGCTCAGGATCTGGGATCTCTTTGGTCAGGCAGACGTAGATCTATTCACCACGGAGGAATCAACTCATTGCCCTCCATGGTATTCCCTTACAGGGATGTAGTGAGTCACGTGGGTACGTGTCACTTGTTGTATGGCAAATATATGAAATATATATGCATACAATATTCACGAGTTCTTCATTTTTCTGACTGTGTAATGCCGTGCATTGAATTTAACAGAAATGCGAACGAGAGACGTCATTACCTTTGACCCATCAAATGAATGGAGTCATTTATTTTCAGAATCAAAGTTTAACATCAAACATTTACATTAATTTGGCAAAATATGAAAATAATAACAGACAGTTTCACAAATAATGAACTTCAAATCACTCGGCGGTGATTTGAGGACTTTGCTTCAGATATTTCTAAAAATATCTGTACTGATTTATGAGAGAGAGGTGAGTTTAAGAGGAAATTGAGATTTATCTTACAGAGGAATATGTGAGGGAATTTAATCTGTTTAACCAGAAATTGCACGCTCCGTCAGATCTCAGCTTTGCCCACGGTACACTTGGTCGAAGAAGAAGTTTTACCTTGTTGACGATCGATCACCTCAGTAAGAATCCTTTTCAACTGATATCAGCGTCTCCGTTGAGAACTGCTAAAATCCTTAGAGAGTCGTGCGTGGTTAGCTCAAACAGAAATTATAATTCCAAACGTCTCTGGATTCTCGGCAACTCCAAAACTCTCCATAACTCTAGTTCTCTTCTGAACTCCTTCAGAACTTTTCCATTCTCCAGAATCTACTGCACTCTTACTCTCTCTAGACTGATAGAACCGGGAAGTTGTCACATTTTAAATGAGTTTACTTCCGAGTTTACTTCAGAGCTTTCTGATTCGTGGATAGACCAGAAAGAGGAGTGATTTTGTGACGTAAGATGTTATCTAAGCCAAGGTCAGAGGATGAGATTGTTTTAACAACTGACAGAGAGATTATTGCAGGAGAGCAGACTTCGTGGAGTCAACTCTTGGTAATCTTCTGAAAAAGTTTAAACATGACATCTTTCTCGGTAAACATTTTAGTTGACCGAAAACCAACCTTTCACATACTTACGACTTGACTCATTTCAGACAGAAAATCAAGAAATGCATATTCAGGTGATTTCTTCTCTGAATGAGGAATAAAAATCATTACTTACTGTTTATGTAAAATAAAAATGAGTAGTTCTTTTCAACCTGTAAAGCATTGAGTGAACTAACACAATTTGATTATCAAAACATTTGTAAGACAGTAATGATTATAAAGAATTGTCTTTTCTGCTTGATTAATTCAAGAAAGAAAGTCATCAGATGGCCCAGACTTATTCAGATCAATGAAAATAACAGTCTCTGTCCATCTGGTAGATTTGAGGTCAGATAAGGGTCAGACCAGGTTCACTACAGGGACATCAGATGCACTAGGCCAGGACATGTTAGCCCATCCTTGGTTGAGGGTCCTCCTATATGCATCTCCACCCCTTCCTCTAATTTGTCCTACTCTTCAGAGAGTTCTCGAAGAAGGCCACAGGATGTGGCCACATGCCACAGGATCCTATCCCTGGATGCTGGTGGCTCCATGTTGGCCAACACAGTCATGGTTCGCACTCCTGCGGAGTTTGTGTCATGGCTTCTCATGGTGTCTTCCGACCAGGAGGGACTTGCTATCTCAGTTGGGGGGATTGATATGGTACCCCAATCACATTCATACACCCATGGGACACACATCGGAGGCAATGAGGGGTTCAGTGTCTTGCCCAGGGACACTTTGACATGTGACTGCTGGTGGATTCGAACCCTCAACACTTGCATTGGAGGATGACTGCTCTAACCACGCAGCCACAGCCGCCCCTAAAATGGGCAAACAAATCAGACGAGGTGGCCCAACTACAGTTTGTGCTGGAATGAGGTGGGCTCCAGCCCCCCTGTGAAGATGGATGGATGCTCCCATGAGAAACAGAAGCTGGGTCCAGAATCAACAGGCAGAAACAGATAATTTGCAGCAAATAGCAGAGCAAGCTGCCAGAAAGCGAGCTGTCAGAAAATCCTCCTGAAATGAAAGGCATGGTCCTAGCTCGTCAACAGGGGACAACAGCGTAATCCAGAATAAAAATTATTTATTATCCAGGTGAGTTCGGATGGAGGCCTGTAGCAACTCTGATGTAAACTCCGGAATTTTCTTGAGCACTACACAGCGCTGCTATTTTATTTTATTTTGCTTATTGGGCCCAGTGAGGGCACTGGAAACATACATCATGGCTACTGCTGCTATAAGACGTTCAGACCAGCTGTTCTTGTGTTATGGAGGCCAGAGACTAGGTTACCCTCTTTCCAAGCAACATCTTTCCCACTGGATTGTGGCTGTCATTTGCCACGCCTACGGTGCAGGACGTGGCTCCTCGCTGGTCAGTGTGAGGGCACACTCTACCAGGAATGCCTCCGCTTTCTGGGCAGCCTTGAGAGGGGTTCCACTGGAAGCGATATCTGCTGCTGCATCATGGGATTCCCCAAGCACGTTCACCAGGTCCTACAACGTCATCGTGGCCACCCCTCATCCTCTGGGCCAGGTTCTTCTGCAAGGATCATCTGGGCCTTCCCAGTGAGGTTTGTGCTCAGGATTCCTTGTGACATTGCTGGTATTAGTCATTCAGTGCTTTCAGCACTGCTCCCTGGCGATCAGTAGGGATGAAATAGAATGAAACTTTTGTATGTAACAACGGTTTTAGGAATCCCAGATGATTGCCAGAGCTTCTCTGTCACTTAGAATTCTTGCGCCCGTAAGAAGATTCTGTAGGATCAGAGCTACAGATGAAACAGGACTATATATCCCCTGGCCAATCATCCAACATGTCACAGCTGTGACTTTTTTGATATTACTACTTGAACGGTGCATGCACGCAGGGAATATTCAGTGCTTTCAGCACCGCCCTCTGGCAGTCATCCGGGATTCATAGAATCATGGTTACATATGTAACCTCCGTTTTATATGATCTTTAAATGATAACTTTCACTCAAATCTATCCAGTGGTTCATGAGATATTCTGCTAACAGACAGAGTTGATGTTACTAGTCAGTGTCAAATATTTAATCTTGCACAATGCATAGCGATCGGATTATGGTAAATGGTAAATGGACTGTACTTATAAAGCGCCTTTCTATCTTATTTCAAAATACTCAAAGCGCTTTACACTACATGTGTTAGGGGTGATCAGGGCTTAATTTGAGCCAGATCCTGCTGGAACAGGATCTGGGAATTCTCTTATTTTGACAGGGTGTGTTCCGGTAGCAGTTTGCTTGGACACGACTTGGATCCGGTAACTCTCAGGCTTACTAATAATAAAGTTATGAACAAACATGACTGCCTTGAATGAATAAAACTTATATTGTATATGTAAACTGAAAATAATTATATGAACTTTAATTTTATAAACACAACAGCCACTTACGAGCATACAATCTGCCTCTTCAAGTAGCCTTTCTGCATCCACTCTTAAAAAAATCTCTGCCCCTAAAAGAGTGGTGAGGATAAGTGCTGAGCTAACCAGGCAGTCGTACGTGTGCAGGAGCACAGACAGAGGAAGCGCATGGAGGTTTCACATATGGAGTCAGACAACAATGAGCAGGGAAAGTGTCAGGCTCGGAACCGTCAAGTGGGGGTGGGTGGTAGGATCATGACAGAAGTGGAGTGTTTACAAATGTAGGTAAACGTAGATGTTTAACAACCCATTAAAATAAACCAAATTGCATCTAATTTATTAAAAAAATTTTGGAAGAGAACCCCCGCAATCAGCTGTGGTGGCCTTCTTGAATGGGGCTGACTCGAAGTTTATCAGTTGGAGATGTACTTCCAATGATTTCTTTTTACAAGTTTCAACAAAATCTGTCTTGTGGATCATGAAATATTTTGATAAAGTTACAGATAAATAAGACAGATAGACACATGTAAGTTACTGAATTCACCGTTAGTGATTAGTGATAACCATAAATTAAAGGTTTGTTCTTTTCTACAATAACTGACTCTTCTTCTTTCGGCTTTTCCCTCTTCAGGGGTCGCTGCAGCGAGTCATCATCCTCCATCTCACTTTATCCTCTGTCCTCACTCCAACTACCTCCTTGTGCTCGCTAACTGCATCCATGTATGTCCTCTTTGGCCTTCATCTTTGTCTTTTATATGGCAGCTGCATTTCTAACATTCTTCTACCAATATACCCACTGTCTCTCCTCTGGACATGTCCAAACCATCTCAGTCTGGCCTCTCTAACTTTATCTCCCAGTTGTTCAACCTGTGGTGTACCTCTGGTGATCTCATTCCTAATCCTATCCATTCTTGTCACTCCTAAGGAGAACCTCAACATCTTCATTTCTGCCACTTCCAGTTCTTTCTCCTGTCTTTTTGTCAGTGCCACTTTTTGTCAGTGCCAGACAATATAACATAACTGGTCACTACTGCCTTGTGACATTTTGTCACAAATCACTCCTGAAACTTTTCTCCATCCACTCCATCCTGCCTGGACTCTCTTTTTCACTTCTTTACCACACTCCCCATTTTCCTGGACAGTGGACCCCCAGTACTTGAAGCCTTGCACTTTTGTGACCTCTGCTCCTTGTAGTCTCACTGTTCCACCGGCCTCCCTCTTATTCACACACATCCTCTGTCTTACTTCTCCATCAGCATCTTCAAAGCAGCTGAGAGCTGATAAGCGTATAAATAATAATTATTGCACGCTGCCTGGTGCAGATACTCGTGACTGGGCTCCATGATGTAAAACTATTATTATGTGTAACCTGTTGTGTAAGTCTGCCCTTGCAAGTAAAACTGGTTAAAATATTTTCATGTCCTCGAATGTGATTTCTTTGAGTAAATAAGGATGAATGTAGGATATTTTTAAGCAACACTGTCATCACTCACTTGCAGGACACAGCAGAGCGTTGTGGCTGACCATCTGTGGGGTTCCTTCAGCCTTCAGGAGACAACAGTTGTGTTAGCAAATCATACAAACACACAACAAATGCTGTCCTGGTGCAGAACAAGCTAAAGTAGAACTAAACACCAAGCATTCCTTCAAGGAACATGTAAGAGTTTTTCATTTGTTATCATTTTTAAACTGCTTCATGATTTCTGTACTTCTATGTATACAAAGCAAAGAAGTTTCTGGAACTATCAGTCCACGTCCGAGCTGATAGTAATTCTCTGTATTTACATAAGCTGCTTTGACTTAGAATTGTTGGTCTTGTCTTAAACCAAGCAAACATATCAACTAGTATCTTGCACTGTTTTTTTTTCTAATCAACTGTAACTGTTTAGCATTCCACAAGATGTTTTGTTCTGATCAAAGAATGTTCCAACCACCTGCCAAACACTTATCTCGTTGATACAAAACTGATGTCGCTCTTACCAATAAAAAGTCAGCTCAAACTGCAAGACTTTGGAGTTCACTTCTGATTTCAGAGGTGAATTTCCCTCCTTGCAAAGAGCGTTGGCCAAAAATCTCACTTTGTTGTCTCGTGGGAATTCTTTGTAGGTTTGACGGGAAAAATACCCGACAATACTTGGTGCCGTTCTGCCCGGATTATTCAACATAACTGCCTGTTGATGGATAAAGGAGGTCCCACTGCTTTGTTCGTGCACGGCCCGACCGGTTTAACCGTCAGAAACAAAGCCCCGGGAGGCGCAGGTTCCTCGCCTGGCCAGTGATTAAGGTCCAACTTTGTCCATCAACGGCAGTTTGATGGAATCCGAACCGGCACTCACCCAACGACATCGGGGTAAGTAAAACAAAAGTTCATCGTAACGTTTTGTTTTGTTGGAAGGGAGAAGAGTATTGTAGCGCCCTCTCTCTGGATGAGTTTTTAAAACTCGTGTTGGCAGGAAAAAGAAAGTAAATGAAACAGTTTTTAAACTGAAAGTAAATAGTGATAAAACTCGAGTAAGGAAGGAAATATATATATATTTTTAAGCTCTATCTTTCCGGATGAGTCAAGACTTTTAAAATTCTAACAATAAGTGAGACTCCGAGTCAAGCACTTTAAAACTTCTACCAAAAGTGAGAGTCTGTGCTGAGCTATAAATAGACCATATCTGTGAAACACTGCATGTTTCTGTGTGAGTGAAACGCTACATGTTTTGGGAGGAAGACAAATCATACTGCGTAACCTTGAATCCTTGCGGTGCTAACGTACGGGTCACAAAGCAGGTCTGTTTAAACCTCCATTAGGACATTTTTTTAGGTGAAGTGTTTTTTTTTTTTAATCTAAAATCTTTCTGCTTTCGGGATTAGAACCCAAAGTGAAGCACCGGATCAATTGACAGCAGTTGAAGCCTGTGTTTCAGAAAGCAAAAGGAGGCCCGCTGGAGACATTTTCATTTAAGCCACTCACACACATATATTAATAAAACACAACAAGATAACATCCTGATGCATGCTCAATAATCCAGGTAGAAAAAATCCAAAAAAGTTCAATCTGGTCCTCTGGACAACAAGATAACTAACTTACGTTCATGGAAAGCCAAAACAGTAAGTCCTCTTCTGAGGCAGAGAGTAAAGATGTACAATTTATGAATCAGAAGCCTCATGATTCTACAAAATTCCCAGAAAAATGGGAAAAACAATACCAAATTGAACCAACATTAAAACCAGAGACCTGTAAAATGGTAATCTCAATTCTACAAGTAAAACTTTGCTGAAAGGAAAGAAAGAAATTAAAATTAGAAGATCAATTAACATGTGCTAAAGTATGACAGAGTCCCACTTAAGAAGAGAACAGATTAATAAAGCTAAAGCAGAAAGAAAAACTAAATAAGAAACAAAAACTAAACAAAAAACAAAATCTGCTGCTTTGTTTGTCAGACCAAAAGATAATATGACCATGACTGTAGCAAGATCCTGATAACTTTTTCATTCAACCTTTATTTAGACAGGTAAATCCCATTGAGCCTCGAGGACTCATTTACAAGAGAGACCTGATTTCAACAAAGAAAGATGACAACAATGGACAACAGCAACAATAATAAACAATTATAAAAAAGTCACACTGGAGGTTTTTTTTTTTTTACAAAT